CCTTGTCCTCCAGGTGGTTCATCAGCGACTCCGAGAGGGACCCCGCCTTTGTCAGGAGGGCCACCAGCGTGCGGCCGTCCTCAACCTCCACCCAGCGCCGCTCCAGGTTCAGCAGCAGCTCGGCCAGCAGCTCCCGGGAGCCCCGCTCCTGCATGTAGGCGGCGCTGGACTCGGCCAGGAAGGCCAGGTGCTTGAACTTGAGCCTGCGCATGCGCCAGCGCACCTCCTGCTCCACCGACAGCAGCTCCTTGGAAGTGGCGGGGAGCGCCAGCGTGTAGAGGCTCCGGAGCAGCTTCACGAGAGTCCCGTGCCAGACGGCGGTTATCTGGGGGGACACAGGCGGGGTCACGCCGGGACCCAGGCGGGCACCGGTGCTCTGTCCCGGCCGGGCCTGTGTGCCGGGCCGGCTGTCCAGCCCATCGCCTGCAGCAGGAACTCTGAGAGGTAAGACCTGGAGTCTCCTCACACCCTGCCCGCCCAGCCGCCCGCTTCTGCTGCCCCACCTGCAGGCCCGTCCAGGCCGAGGCCAGAGGAGGCCTGTGGGGCGCGACTAGGGCCCAGACGGCCAGTTTTGTCAGCAAACTTGTTCCTTTGCTGACGACAATGACGATCTTTAGCTGTTAGTTTTCTTCAAAGCAGCCGGCCCTTGTTCGAAGCAGCAAAGGGAGGCCCTTTGCCCTTCGACATGTCGGCACCACAGGGCCCTGCCACCCCCACTCCCAGGCTCTGGGAGACGGCAGCCGCCACCCCACCAGCTCTTAGAAAACCTGGCAGGGACCAGCACCCGCAGGCCTCACCCCCGTGCCACACGCCTCCCCTGCGTCTCTGAGGGAACCGGTGGTCTGACATGAGCCTTGCCCCTGCCCCCCGTCCTCCCAGGTCTCCGTGCAGGTTCTGAAGGAGAGTGATCCCGCTGGGCCCTGCCGTGTTTCCAGGGCCCAGAGAAACATGAGGCCGCCCGAGGGGCCGTGGCCCAGACCCACCCTCTGGGAGGTGGCGTGGCGGTGCTCTGACTACTGGTGGCACAAGACTCGGTCCCAGCCTCTGCCTTCATACGTGGGACCGTGCTGCCGAGAGGGACCAAAACCACTCACACCAGGTGAGGAGCAAACGCTGCCGTGTGACAGGTGGGGAGGGAACAGAGTTTAACCTCAGTGTCTCGAGGCCCAGCGCCTGCGTCTTTCTGTACGGTTCCTGGACAGCAAGAAGGATTTTTAAAAAGTTTGGTCACCCTTCGCATGGCCAATACTTTGCTCCCAGTTTGTTACAGCTTAAACTTTATCACGTTTAGTTTCCTCAAATTTGCTTCAATTGTGTCTCTCTTCAATAATAACTAGAATTACAGCCTTAAGACAGGAGGGCCCCTAGTTAACCATTTGTACGCCAGAAGTGTCTATAGACGCAAGCGGGGGAACTTTTTAAGTTAAATTCAAAATATCGTGGCAGTTAACTGGTTAAGGTCACTTCACTTTTTTTTAAACCCTCACCTGAGAATATTTTTTCCATTGATTTTCAGAGAGAGTGGAAAGGAGGGAAGAGGAGGAGGAGGAGGAGAGGGAGGGAGAGAGACAGAGAGAAACATCGATGTGAGAGGGACTTTGACTGGCTGCCACCTGCTCAAGCCCTGCATGGGCCTGGGATGGCTCTGGCAACCTCCTGGTGCAGGGCAAGTTGCCCAACAACTGAGCCACCCCAGCCAGGACAATCAAGGTGATTTTTATGAGCTATATTCTCCCCTATCTCCACCCTCCTCCTTTGAGAATCGGATTGGCTGAACAACGCCCACACCTCCTCAAGCTTTAAGAGTGTGCCGCCGCCATCAGCCAGACCCTGGGGAGGGGGTGGCACACCGATGAGCAGAGCAGAAGCAGAAGCAGCAGAAGCAGAAGCAGGCTGGCACTCTCCACCTAACAGGGCCGCCGTGAGGGTTACCAGAGAGAAGGTGTGAAAGTGCCAGACGGGCTGCTGCGGCCTCGGTGCCCCTGCTGTTTCCACCTGAACAGCCTGCGACCCACCTGACTGTTGACGAGCTGGAGAAGCTGCTGAAAGCGGGCGTCCTGCACGAGCAAGGCTCTGTCCTCTGGCTTCTCGGACAGCAGGCGAGAGAGCCTGATGACCACGAGGGCCGCCTGGTCCTGCTGCAGGCCGTGGCCACCACCCAGCAGCTCCAGGAGCTCCTCTGGCCCAGTGGCCTTCCTGATGAGCTCGTCCACCCCCTGGCGCTCCGGGTAGGGGGTGATCGCCTGCTCCTTCTCCAGGTGCTGTGACGAGGAAGCTGGCAAGTGGGAACTGGGTGAGGTAGCTGAGGAAGTCAGTGTCTTTCGGGCCACCCTGGCCAGGCTCAGGCGGCCGGCCGGAGGCCCAGCAGGGGCTAGGTGGGCGGCCTCTCTCAGGAGGCAGGCACATCGCTTCACCAGGCGAGCTGCCATGACGGCCCGGACGGCAGGGAGGTGGCACTGCTAGCAAGTCATTCCCAGGCCCTGAGGGAGAGAGAAGGGGTTGGTGCACAGACAGGAGAACGGGACAGTGAGATGGAGTCGCAGGCACACGCTCCACTTAGCCCACACCTCCTGACCCCCCCATGCCCAGGACAGCACCTCCTGAAGCTAAGATCTCAGAGGTTAACCAAACGCCACAACAGGGGCGCATGCAGGCGGCTTGGGGCGTTTCAGTCCTGATTGTGCTTAATCAGATCAGTCGGCCCCTCACACGCTCAGGAATGGGAGTCTCTGCAAGAAGGGCTGGGCAATTTGTTTTCAAATGTTAAGTGTCTTCAGGATTAAGAATGAAGAGAGACAACGAGGGAAGATGTTTCCAATCGCTTTCTCCCGAGCGTTCCCGGGCACGGAATCCACATCCCACAGCTGCTGTGGGTCATTTTAATACTTATAGACACAGTGAGCTTCCCCAAATCCGCACCGACCTGCTCAAAACATGAACACACAGCCCGGCCGGCGCTCACTGGTTGAGCATCGACCTATGGACCCGGAGCTCACGGTTCCATTCCCGCCAGGGCACACGCTCTGGGCTGCAGGCCGGATCCTCAGGAGGGCACAGGAGGCAGCCCATCAGTGATCCTCTCATCACTGATGTCTCTCTCTCTCTCTCTCTCCCCCTTCCTCTCTGAAAGCAATAACAACAATAATAATAATAATGATGATGATGATGTTAAACTCCTAAACCAATCGCAACAGGCACTCCACAGGCTTAGAACTGTCTCCCAGCAACACGCGCCTCATCCTGAGCAGGCCCTGCGCCCTCCTTGCACTGGGTCCCTGGCCTCCCTCCCACGCAGGGCCCAGACCGAAGTTCCCTCCTCCGAGAAGCTGCTGCAAATCCCAACTACGGTGCTGACCGGTCCCGTCAATCTTGCTCATCCGGGTCACTCATGACCCGGGTCAGGCAGGTGACGGAGGCGGTAAACCGCAGCCCGGGCCTCCCGCCCAGCACGGAGCCTGCCGGTTCGATCTGCGTTCCCGGAACCCGGATGTGGCCGCTATATTCTACTTTTACGTGGTGGGTTCCTGCAGCGTCGACCTATGACCGAGGAGGTCAGGGTTCGATTCCCGTCGGGGCACAGGCCCGGCTGGCGGGCTCCATCCCCAGTGCGGGGCGCGCAGGAGGCGGCCGATCCGTGATCCCCTCTCCCCATGGATGTTTCTCTCTCTCCCTTCCTCTCTGAAATCAATAAAAACAGTAATAATAAACAAAAACCTCGGCCTGACTTACAGAGAGAGGCCCAGGGAGAGGGGATCCCGGCCCAA